ATAACAAGCGTTTGGAAAATAAATAATATTGTAAAAATATAAAAGAAATTGAAAATATGCCCGAAGTAAATCTTGTAGCATATCTTTAAAGGAATAAAAAAAGTATTTGATACATTATCACGTTTAATTTATTGATAAAAATGGGCCTCATAAAAAATCTATTTTATTCTATTCTATTTCATTCTATGGTTTTAAAACTAACAATCTCATGTTTCTTAATTTTTATATGATAAATCTTTATTTTGTTTTTATGATTATTAGTGGAAGGAATTGCATTAAAATATAATCGTAGTTTAAATTGTCTCATCTATCACCCAAACATTGCACGAGTCTTCAACCCTGAAGTCTTGTTTCTTCCATATGAATCCCGGTTTCCTTGTTAGCTCCATTTCTCCATAGCGGATGGGATTGCATTTTGTCCTAGTTTGCTTTTATCGGACACTGCGATAGGGTAAACTAACCAGTGAAGGAACACTCAAGTTTAGTTTGTCTGTAAGAAAATCGCAATAATTTCAAAATTTGTAATTTTTGTTAAATGAGTCAACAAATAGTGTTAACATATTTGTTATTGAAATCGAATTACGTAATTTTTTTAGGGAACTTACATAATATTGTATTACTCTTTTGGTGGTAGCAAAATAAGTAGCAAAATAACCAAGTGAAGAAACAGTTCTTACCAGCAAATAAACACTAAATTTTCCTGTTAATGAACACCTAATTTTGTGAAATTTTTTATATGTTTTAGGAATTTATAGGCCATACAAATGTCTAAAAACAAGATTTTTCTTGGAATTATAACATGCAACCACATTTAACGTGGATATACTAAAATTATTTCCACCTCAGCCACATCAGCTTATCTTGATGTCCTGGAATCTTGCTTTATTCATATGAATGCTGATCAAGTATATAATCGTAGCTATTGGTTCATTGGTATTCATTTTAAAATATTTTTTTGAGAAAGAAGTATCGTATCAAAACTTATTTAACACAAAAGTTTCAATTTTTTTTTATTAGAAAATTATTTTAATACCCTGTTATTTATGGAAACGTTTTCTAAAAAAATTTATATATAATTCGCTACTTTAAAGTTCCACTTCAGTTAAAGGAATTTTATTTATTCCTTGTTAAACTAGGGGTATGAATAAAATTTTTGTGTTTGTTAATTAACTAATTGATGCTTTTGAATATGTTTTATTTATTTCATTGAAATGTGCTCTACTGAATTTAGTAGCCAATCTTTCAATTTTACAGCTGTAAATATCTCTAAAACTTCAACTTTAAATGTTAACAGCTTCAATTTTTTTTCTTCAAATTTTGTAACTAGTCTCGAAAGAACACATTTCAATAAATAAATGAAAACGAAATATTTTCCAGAACCCGACTTGTTTTAATGAAAGTACGATCATATAATGTTCCGTAGGTTAATGCAGCAGAAATAGAATTCTTTCTTTGCTAGAAAATGAAAATTTAATTATTAGTAAGGAAGAATTCTGTTTAAGAGTAGGAGATAAAGGAATCAAAATGATACAATATTTTATTTCTAATACACATTTCAAAATAACTAAATGTTTTATCACATTATTATTGTGTATAAATAAAATAATTTCGTTGCCTGATAAACTAAGACATTTTGAAGACATTTTTTTGTTGTACATAACACTGTTTGTTGTACATAACTTGTTTTGTTGCACTATGAAAAAAGTATGGTAAAAATTTACCAGAATATAGTAAAATTTGCCGTCTTACGGACATGTTTTGGTGATAATTTTGGTAAAGTTAACAATGAAATATGATTTTACGATAAAGTTTGGTAACTGTGGTAAAATTTAGTAATTTTTGCATGATACCTTAGTATGGTATAAAAATAATTTATTCCGTTAAATGTATTTTTCAGTTTTGTAATTTTTGCTAAATGTTTGGTAATAAAAGCTTTAATTTTGAAAACTAGAATTTCTGGTAAACCATTACCATATGAAGGGGCAAATTACAAAATGAATAGTTCAAATACAGCTTATTTAGGTTTTTATTACCAGAATTGTTTGTTTTACCAGAAATGTCATTACCATTCGGTACGCTAATTTTTACCTAAATTTTTTCTCCGTTCGTTTAGTCGTAACAACATTTTATGTTGTAAACCGTATTAAATTTCTTTGCACTAATTTGTCAGTAAATAAACAGCATTTATAAAACATTTCTGATAATAAAAGACCATATGAAGTCGGGTAAAAAATTCTTATATCCAACAGAATAGCATTTTTATTTTTGTTTAATATTATGTACATGATAAACACATCAGTTTAAAACATTAGAGAATAAATTGTTTTCTGTTAACTATTCCAAATGCTTCTTTAACTATACTTAAGTATCGTTGCAGAAGCATTCCTTTGTCGTTAATCACTAGCACTTCAGAAACAAGAGTATCTTCTAACATAAACATATGCTTTAGTGAACTCTTAGCTTTTAAGAAATCGCATTCCTTTTTATGCATAATTAATGCTACATGACTGGCTCGATTAAAACTGATTTCCTGTTTACTCCTGTCTAATATTTGCTGTCTAAATGGCAACAAGTATGATTCTATTGGGTTTTATACAATAGTTGAATCTAAAGGAATAATATTAAGAGCTTTGTACACTTTAAAGAATTCCGGATCAAATTACGTTAAAAAGTATAGTTGAGAGAAATTTAAATTCCGGAACGAATATTAAATGATAATTATTTCTTAAAGATGCAGAGAAAAAGGTTCTTTGTTAAAAATCTTTGTTACTTCATCGGAATTTAATAGTACCGAATACTGAAAATATTTAAACCTCCCAAACAGGACGTTATACACTATTAAAAATAGTTAAAAACAATTTTCTCCGAAGTACTGATAAAGGCAAAGATCTGCAGGCAGAACAAAACAAATCTCATACATTGTAATTTTTACAGTAATAATTACCGTAAATATCCGAAACACTCCAATTAAATAAATATTACTGCAAAAATTACCGTATATGTTATGGTAAAAATGGATTTTACCGTAAAATTTGTTTTATCGATGATGCACCCAAATTGTCAGTATTTCATACCGTAATTTCAACCGGAATTTGTAACAGTCTAGATAAATGGATTTTAATTTTAATTAAGAATTAATTTCAGTTAATGGAGTTAAATATGGTTTTTAAACTGGAGTAATTAAATATATTTAAAAGAATTAATAAAACATATTTAAAGGAATTAATAAAATATATTTAAAAGAATTAATAAAATATATTTAAAAGAATTAATAAAATATATTTGAAAGAAATTTATTTTTGTAGAAATCATATTATTTAGTGACAAAACTTTACAAGATTTCGATATAAAGTTTTATTACTAATTTTGTACAGAATTTTAAATAATTTTACACAGTAACCATTTATGATACTGGAAACAATTTTAATACAATAAGCGTTGGGTCATTTTGCGTTTGGTTCACTAAAATTTAAGATACAAACTGTTTAAATTATTTCAAAAAGTGATTTTTTTTAAATAAATGAATAAACAGTGGTAATAAACTTGAAGTTATTTTCTTAATGAAATTAGCAGATTTTTTATGCATAACATGTGATGTTAAAGCTGCGTTTTTTCATTGGCAATTCTGAATGCAAGTTTCTGAAGATAAATTAGTTGCATATGACTTCAGGGATTTTCTTTCAGGAGTTTTTTTCTAAAATACAAACTAAAACACATTTGTTTCATTTAAAAAAAGTTTAAAGTTGTAATTTTTTAAAGCGTCTAAAGTATTCAACAAAAAAAGCGATTAAAAGAACTCTCAAAAATATCTAAAATACTGTATTACAGATTACATAAAAATAATTATCTTATTATAAAATTTAATGCTTAATTTAACTTGAAATTCTACAGAAAACGTCTAGTTCAGTAGAATGTATTTGATTCGATAAATAAATTAAGTTTATTTTTTATTATTTGTAGTCATCAAAAACTCATCAGTGCTTATTTTTTTTTTTTTGAAAAATAGGTTCTGTTTTTATCAGTTTACAGTGATGAAATTAACATTCCTAAATACTGTTTATAATAGCATCTATAATAGCATTTCAAAAATTTCTCTACAGATTAACTTGTTTAATAATACTATATTTAAACTTTATATAAAACAGTTAGGAATTCGTTCTAAAAATTCAGTGAAGAATCATTAATATTTGTGTATTTTTAATGCTAGTTAGTTCAGATAAATTTGAAGAAAAAAATGTAACTTTTTATTTTTAACTTAATAACTTTCTATAGTTTCTAAAATTATTTTTTTTGAGAATTTATATTGCTATCTAACTATGTTATTAATGATGACAATTCACAACTGTATCAAATGTTGGTTGGTTGGTTCTAATGCCACTTGCCACACGGGAAATCCTGCTTGGTGAAAGCGAGCAAAGTTAAGGCAGAGGGTGCGATTCTTGTTTTTCAGTGGCGCCATCTATAGCCAAGAATTCGACTTCTGCCACATCNTGAAGAATCATTAATATTTGTGTATTTTTAATGCTAGTTAGTTCAGATAAATTTGAAGAAAAAAATTTAACTTTTTATTTTTAACTTAATAACTTTCTATAGTTTCTAAAATTATTTTTCTTGAGAATTTAATATTGCTATCTAACTATGTTATTAATGATGACAATTCGCAATTTTATCAAATGTACTTTCCTGAAACTGAGTTCAATAAAAATGCATCTTTGCTTTTTGACATCCAACAAATTATGCTATGTGAAACATTGCGAATCAAATTATGGTAAAAAATCGTGACACTCTAAGTGCAACATTTTTAAAACCCATTTTACTGTCTTTTTATTTTATTTTGATTTTACCATTATTAGGTTTTTCTTACATGAAATTACAGTACCACACGGTTCTCTTACTAAATTTTGTTTTCTCCGTTCAGTATGTATTTTATTACAAACTAATACTAAACATGCTCATTGTTTTGATATTGAAGAACTGTGTTAATTCTATTTTTTTTTCAGGTTTTAGTGTTAGTAATGGAATCGTATGGCAGGAACAAAAACGTTTCGCATTGCACGTTATGAGGGATCTTGGATTTGGAAAAACTCGTATGGAAGTACATATTAAAGTAAGTTTTGCTTTACTAAAATTCAGAGTTTAGTTAAAGGACCTGTTAGTTAATATTTTTATGAATTTGCTGAAATCAGTATTAGAATATCAAAAAATTGCTTGAAAAGCGTATTTTTTCACCTAAAGAATCAGTGTCATTTAAAATATTCTTGGAGGAAATGTTCCGTACTTACAGTCGACAATATCGTTAAACTATTTAAAAATTCAGTATTTCTAAGCACGAAAATTTGAGTGTAATTTTCGGATTTACATAATAGACTTTTCCACTTTATTATAACGATCTTTACATGTAATCAGATATGCATGTTTTAGTGATGCAATTTTATTTAGAAGAATTAAATATATTCTTGATTGAAATAATTTTCTTTGAATTTAAAAAATTTGTTTCATGTAGTGGGTGCTTGTGCTTGAATTTAGAAATATATAGTTTTTTTTAACGCTTTTATTTAAATAGCAATAAGTTATGGTACTTGGTTTAAGACAGCATAAATACCATGATTATTCGAATCTCAGAAACTCATGTTATACATAAGCTATTTACGAAATTGATTTCTTATATTACATACTATTTTTAACTATTTGCTGCAAGAGGAAATATCACAGTTGGTACACAATTTGACAAACACTTTGATTTTAATTTCTTTAAAGCAAATCTGACTTATTTAACCATCAATTTTGATGGATTTAGAAAATTTCATTAATTGACAATGGAATCTATTTAACAGAATTCATTTGACTAAGCGTTGGCTAAATGTTAAGTAAGAAATAATTTAAATAGAAATGTTATCAAGTGTTGTGAGATACTTTTTCTGTTCTCGTCAATACGAGGATCTGGTGAATAGTTCTAGAGAAATTGAATTTTTGAAAAGTTGTATTATTAAAATTCAATTTTTCAGAAACTATTGGAATCAGTTCGTTCAAATTTGACATTTTGCCATGTAAAATCATATTTTAGAAAAATGGTTCTAAAATTGCATTGCCTTACAATTCAAGCATTTATCGGCCATTATTAAATAAAATAATAAAAAATCTGAAATCTTAATCTTTCCCAGATTGCGGCTATCCTCTACATTTTTGGGGTAAGAAAATCAAAATCATTTAAAAAAAGATGTTTATTCTGCGAAAGTGCAATTTAATGTCCAATTTCATGATTTAAAATATCGTATATGCCAACTAATTAGCATATTTGAGGTCATCCTCTTAAACCATTAGGATTGAGCTCTAGAATGTGAAAATCCGATCATTAGATCTAAAGTTATTCAGGATAGTCAGTTTCTTTTGGTGCTCTATACATTATTTTGAGAGTTATATTGTGTATTTTCATAATAATGCATACTAATAAGCAATACTTAAGTTTTTTTTGCGTTTTTAAAATTTAATTCAATGATAGGTTAATATGATGATGTTTATGATCATAATAAAGATAAATGATTGGTTTTAAATGATTATTTCTGATTTTAGAAATCCATAAAATCGAGCATAAGAGCAATTTTATATTACAAGATATATCCATAATCTATTGAATAAAATTTTAATAACACATTTTTTAAATTTAATTTAGTTAAAATATAAAGTAAAATTAGAGTTTTGAATATATAATTCGTCGACGTAAGCGATAGTAAATGGCATACTTTTCTGGAAATAACCTCTTTTTAAGTAAATATTTTAAATTTCTTCCTTCAAATTGACAATCAGGATGTTTAGTTCATATACAATATACAATACAATAGTTTATATACAATACAATAATACAATAAACACAGTATTACAATATTACAATAAACAGACAATATTTCATATAGCGAGCATGGTATTTTAAATTTAATACTATTCTAAAAATCAGATTTTATGAGAATTACATTATTTAATCGAGAGTCACAATTAGTTATACTCTTAAATAAACAAGAAATTTACAGTACGAGCAAAACTTGACGCAATTTATTCATTAAAAGTAACAAAGTTTAAATTTATTCGAGCATGGTAACACTAATAAAACACCTTTATCTGTCATGGTGATTAATCATCGCAGCTCAAATGACGTTAGCTCCGTATAAACTGCGAAGAATCCTAAAACTTCCACGTTAATATATTGCTTTATCGTTTCTAAAGAAATTCTCCAGCTAAAAATATAGAAAGTGGGGATGCTTTATGCTATCAATACCTTCACAAAACAGAAAACAAAGGAATAATTCAAATATAATATGTGCACCAAAACTTACACTATGAGGCATAATTGATGATCTTTGGAAGATTATGTTTCATAAGAAATCATATTTCACCAAGAAAATCGTTGTATCATTTATCATAAAGATTCATTTGCTCATTTTTACTCAAAATTATTTCTTTAGAATAACCATTTTTTAAACTATTCCGAGCTTCTTAAAAGAAAAATGGTTTTTATTTTTTCGTTTGCAGAAATAACAGAAAATAAAACGATAATTAATAATATTTATCGTTCTATTTTCTGTTACGAAGAATTTCTTCATATTATTATTTAAATGATCTGTGTAATAGATGAAGTTTTAAGATGTTTGCTTTTTTACATTAATGACTGAAAGGATCTAAAATAAATTAATCATTGCTTTAAAGCTTGTTTATGTTTTATTACATTGTCATCAAGTTAATTGTAGTTAATTCATACATTACATGGACCGAACAAAATGAATTTCTTACATTATTGTATGAAATCTAAGACTTATTTCTCTCGTTTGGATTTTCTTACATCAAGTTATTTTATCATTATTTTATCAAGTTATTTTATTTACGTAGTCTAATCTTAAAAATTATCCCCAACTTATAAACAAAAACTAAAAAAAAATTATCAAACTCTGGTTAGTGATATTGTCTGGTTATATCTCCTTATTGAAGTCGATTAGAGCGAAAGTGAAATTAAAATCAGGAAAAATATTTTTTTTTGTTACATGGGACTGAAAAGTGCTTACTTTTTATTAGGAGCTGTCTTCAGCAAAAAAAAAAAAAAAAAAAAAAAAAAAAAAAAAAAAAAAAAAAAAANAAAAAAAAAAAAAAAAAAAAACGATTTTGATGGTTTTAACATAAAATTTTGCTCCGATCAGTCTTGATAATAATTCATCAAAATTTGATTAAATTTCTTATTTATATCTTAAATATCAATTTACAGCACCCGATGTGAATAATTTGAGGATTTTAAGTTATAAAAATATGCATTAAGGTTTATAAATATGGAACATCCAGTTGCAGACTTTATTTGACAAACCAAAATAGTTAAAAAGATAACACTTGACACCAAATATTTCCTAATTGATATTTTCACAGTGGCCAGAAAGGAGAATTTTGTGACAAAGAAAGAAAAAAAATAGAAATTATTATAACATTATTATTAATTAGTATTATAATTCTATTACTTAAATGTCATTATTCTTGATTTTTTAATTGATAGCTTAATGTTTAATGATCGCTGATATCATGCTATTTTTTAAACTAAACAAATTTACAAATATAGATTTGATTGTTAAAAAGGAATTAAAAATTTTTAGGTGTAAAAAATTAAGAAATATTATAAATCTTGATTCGTAAACATGCAATGTTAATAAATTTTTTTAGTTGGCCATTTTTTTCGTGTACTTTCATCTTTATCTAACATAATAAAATTTCAGACTCGAATGGAGTCGCGCAAACAAAAGTCTTATCGATCTCAAACATGGGTAGCTTTGGATTTATAGTTTTCAGGCTAGGGCCTTCTAGATGCGATCCCGAGCACTTATCTCCTGCCTGCTTGTAAAAGGTTCAAAAGACATTGTTACGTTCTTAATGTTGACATATATTCGTCTTTAAAATAAAAATAAAAATGTACGTCAATGCAAAAAAATACACAAATTGTTATGGATAAATATTATCTTTGAATTAGTTATATAGTTAAAACCATAGTTAAAAAACCATAGTCGAATTTTTCAAATCAGTTAGTTAGTTTATTCCTTTCATTTTACTCCCCAAAATGTCAAACAAAAACGCAAAGAATCGCTATGGAAGTTAGGGAACCACAAATTAGAGACCAACTGCACTGCTGTTGCAATTTAGTTAATATTACTCACTGGTCGCCTTTACTTTCCAAAGTAGCTGGTACCCATTAATCTGCAGTTGAGTGAGCTTCATGTCCCCCCCCCCTGGGATAGAAGCACGGTCAATAAATGTGACAGTTTTCTTAAAAAAACAATAAGGATTTTTGTTTCTTCCTTAAAGTATCATTTTTGAATTTAATAACGTAGATCAAAATACTGTTTGAATGAAGAATTAAGTTTCCAGCAAGTTAGTGAATTATTTTTAGTATATACCTAATAGAAAGCGAAAATGAGGATTTTTCTATTCTTTAAAGTTTTTGTGAAACATTCATTATCAATAAAAGAAATCTTCTACAGAAGTGAATATCCACTTTGTGCACTAGCTGTTCAACTCGAATAATAACATAATAAACATTATACTGTCACTCATCGTATTATAATTCCTACTTATTAAATTTTATTGAGCAAGTAAAAAAACGTATACATAAAATTTATTTATTTTTAAGCTACGGAGAAAATATAGAGTTTTCTTAAACATTTGAAAGTTCTCAATACATCCATTGTAAGTGCGGCATAACGTAAATTTAAAACAATTATTTATATTTAAAGAGTAATTTATCATTTTTGTCAGGTGTAATTTTAGAGATCACCATCAGTAAAGAAAAATGCATGGTACATATATTCGATATATGCTATCGCAATATGCTGTTCTTTAATTCCATCAATCGTCAAATGACATGGATTATTAATATCACCAACTTCACGAATATCGTCTGCTTTTCTCCTACTTCTCCATTAGCACCACAAATTGTTCTTTAGACGCGGCCGGAACATATTTATCGGAAAATCGAAAACTCCGGCAAGAAATAATTAATGGATAAAGACTCCTCAGACTGCTTCTCATAGTAACTTTTTTATTTCTTTCTCGGCATTTGCTCGGCACCGTAACTGAGAAGCTGTCGTCTAGTTCGATTACGATTACAGAATAAATAGAGACGTAATGAAATGTTAGTAAAAAAGAATTCGCCGAGTATGATCGTTTGGCAGTTCTGAGTGAAAGAGTGTCGGAAAAGGGGATTCGGCGTATCAAAATTTGACAAGTGCTGAGTATTGAAAATGTTCCCAGCTTCTCATAAATGGAATACCCAATAGAAAAGAGGAATTTGACAGATAAAGAAAAGATATAGATTTATAATAAATGAGTAACTAATAGAATAGGTATTTTCACTTAGAGTATGCTGTCACTTAATGTCAATGAAGATATAAAATCTGTATTTATATTTTCTATATGAACTATGCTGAAATTATCTTTGAAGGCTTACAGTTTATATTTTTTTGTCGTAGAATAATTTGTAACACGAAAAAACTTTTAAAGTAGCTTATTTCATTTGATAACCAAAAGCTGAATTAGAAAATTAAAGAAACGATACATAAGATGCTCAATTATTAGAATCGTTTTCTTAAAAATTATCTAGATTTATACTTAAGTATTAGTCGTATTATTGATTACAGAATAAAAAAGAAATGTAAGGAAATTTCTGTAATAAAGGAATTGGCGAATATGATCGTTTGGCAGTTCTTCTGGAAAGAGTGTTAGAAAAGTATTCGAGTATTCAAATTTAACCCGTAAAAATGTTTCCAATTTCTCGTAAGTGGAATAGCTCATAATGAATAAAGGCTTATAATAAATTGATGACTAATAAAATAGATATTTTCCCTTAATGGCAATGTAGATATATAGTCCTGATTCTTATTTTTTATAAGAACTGTGTTAAACAATTTTGAAGTTTCATATTTTTTTTGGTAGAACAGTTTGTTAAACTAAAAAGTTCTAACGTGGCACATTTATGAGGCTACCAAAATTTTGTTTGAATATTTAAAAATGATTCCAAAGATACTCAGTTATTAAAATTGTTTTTTTTCAAAAAGCATATATTTGTATTGAAGTATTGGAAATGATTACAGAATAAGTAGACATGTAAGGAGGTGTTAGTATACACCCGATTCAACAAATCCAAATTTGAAAAATATCAAATATTGAAAATGTTTCCAGTGTTTCTTAATTCAAAAGATACAGAATTATAAAATTGGGTAATCTCTTGGAGGTTGTTGTTAGTTAATGACAATGTAAAGAGAAAGTCTGTATTTATATTTTATTTAAGAGCTGTGCTAAAATCAGTTGCGAAGTTTCGCAGTTTATTTAATCCGTTTATTGAACCATTAACGATAAGAAAGTATTACTATGGGTTATTTTACTTGACAACCGAAACAGAAATTGAAAATTAGGCAAACTTTCCAAGAGATGTGCAATCGATGATGAATCGTTGCTTTTCTCAATTTGAAATTTTATTCTTTTATAAAAGAAACACATAACACTCTATTTGAGTAAAAAAAATTCATACAATTATATTTTATAAGCAATGTAAAATTTGAAAGCTAAATATAACATGCTACTTACAGAAGGAGCAAATGCTATTTTCTGCAGATTCTCAAGAAAATCGGCTGGTTGGTCAACCACGTAATTGTAATTTGGATCCCACGGTTGTAAAAATGTACTAAAACCTTAATAAAGTGTTAAGTTCAGCAGCGTTTATTTTCAAGTTGAACTACAGTATCACAGTGAAAAAAATAACTAAATTTTACAGAAAAAAACACATATTTTTTACAGCAAAAACTGTTTAAAGATAAATACATTTGACCATAATTTATAAGGGCTTGCTCCTATAGTTTTGAACGTATTTACACTAAAATATTACATCGAAAAGAAATACTTGGATTATAAAAACAGTTTAAGAATTTTCTTTACTACCAAACACTAGAAATGCAGTGGTCCAGAGGACAAAGCTCTCCTCTTCCAATGATTTGACATAGGTTTGAATCCTGACGATGACAGGTCGTGTGAATTCTGCTCTAGCTTTACATCTTCAACAGTTCTGATATAGCTATTTTGTAGAGTGTTTTTATTAAAATAACACAGTTTCTTTATTAAAATAACATTATTTATATGTTTAACAGGCATTCACTTTTGAATAACAGTATTTATCTGTGAAATAAAAGGTTTTACACTGGTAGACCAGTTGCCAGTTTTTTTCTGTAGACTGATCAAATTTTTTTATAGTGCATGTAATCAATTATTTTGTATGCTCATTAGATTCATATTGGTATCACGGCACTATTAAATTGGCACTATAATAAGTTTCATCATGAGAAATATTTTTAACTAGGCTTCCCTCTATACCTTTTCCCGCTTTTTAGGGTAAAACATTCTATGAACGGTAACTCTTGAAAATAATTTAATACTGGCAATAAATCTGTGTCCAACCTTTTTATACAATGTCCGAACGTTTAATAAATAAAGTTCTAGAGGCATTTTTATAAATTTCTTTCTACACCAAACTGACTCTTATTTTTTCTGAAACCATAAAGCTTTGCATTCAATACAAATCATTCTATTTTTAAAAAAACTTCAAGCGATCTAATTTAAATATTGCAATTTATCCTAAATACAAAGGAGTTGGTTCCCAGTCACCATAAATGTAGCATACTTACACACAGGACATTAAAAATATAATGTTATAAAAACTTGAAACGGTTTCTGGGTGCATTATATTTTTTAATGATATATTATTCTATTGCAGGAAGAAGTTGCACACTTATTAGATGAGCTTGAAGAATTTCAGGGTAAGCCTGCTAATGTTCGACGTTACCTGGCTCCAAGTACATCCAATAACATTTCTGCTTTAGTATTTGGAAGAAGGCTGGATTATCACGATCCAATGCGTATTCATTTGGACACGTCCATAACTGAATTGATACGCTTCTTCAGACCAACTAGTCTTCACGCTTGGTTCCCTTGGCTGAAAACTTTACTTTTCAAGTTTAAACTGTTTGATTACGATAAGTTACAACAAGCCATCGAGCATCTTTTAAAGTTTATCGAGTAAGTTAATAGAGATGTTACGTAATATTTTATGAATTAGTTTTTCTAAGGTGTTTGGTCAACTCATTTTAAAAGATTCTGGTTCACATTACGGTGTATAGTACCGGCACTATCAATCGTAAAATAGCGAAAACTAATGTAAAAAAATGTCTACGAAAACAACGATCCTACCAACTAGCCTTCACGCTTGGTTCACTTGGCTGAAAACTTTACTTTTCAAGTTTAAATTGTTGATTACGATTAGTTACAACAAGCCATCAAACATCTTTTAAAGTTTATCGAGTGAATTAATAGAGATGTTACTAAATATTTTATGAGTTAGGTTCTTCTAAGGTGTTTGATCAACTGCATTTTAAAAGATTCCGGTTCACATTACGGTGTAAAGTACCGACACTATCAGTCGTAAAATAACGAAAATAGAACAATCTAATGTAGAAAAATGTCTACGAAAACAGCGATCCTACCAACTAGCCTTCACGCTTGGTTCCCTTGGCTGAAAACTTTACTTTTCAAGTTTAAATTGTTTGATTACTATAAGTTATAACAAGCCATCGAACATCTTTTAAAGTTTATCGAGTAAGTTAATAGAGATGTTACTTAATATTTCATGAATTAGTTTTTCTAAGCTGTTTGATTAACTACATATAAAAAAATTATTGATCACATTACGGTGTAAAGTACCGGCACTATCAGTCGTAAAATAACGAAAATGAAACAATCTAATGTAAAAAATGTCTACGAAAACAACGATGAACTTTTTAAAGATTAAATTTCTTACGATTTGAATTTTTTATCTGATCGAAAATTGCTACCAAGAAAATCTTATTTAATATTTTTTAAAAAATGAAATCAGAAGTGAAAGTTATAGAAACTGATAACGACAAATATTTACATTTCTCGGTAAGAGTGATAATATCAAATTCATATCAATTAAAGCATATTTTTTATTATTTCTGAACGGATCTCAGTATACTTGATTTAAAAAATCTATATATTTTAAAATTCTGTAAGAATAAAAACTCTGTGTTCAATACGATAATCGAAGTACTCAAAATTTATTCTGTTCATACTTTTAAAGTAATATTGCTCAATCGTTATATTAGGGAAATCTTTGCTTACGTTTCATAACATAACATAACATAACATAACATAACATAACATAACATAACATAACATAACATTAAAAGTTCTAAGTTGAAGAAGGTAATTCACAAATTCAGAACAGTATTCACGCTATTTAAACATCAAAATTATAATGAATTTATTTCTACATTTAAGAAATATTAAGCTACAATTCCATTAATTTCATAACTTAAATTCCAAATAAATCGTTGATAATGTAAATACTTTAAAGACACTCTTATTATAATCATGAAAACTAGTTCAACTTTGCAAGTGAATTAGAGATAAGCTCATTATGCAAGCAATTAGATAAGCTTTTCCTTATACTAAAATCTAATGGACTAATCTCTTCAACCTTCCAAATTCCCTCAAATACTATAAACCCTACGAACCCTACTTATTCTTTCTTCCAGAAAAGTTATAGGCAGCATAAATGCTATCCATAAGCCTGAAGATATATCGCCAAGGTTTCGGTTGTGGACGTTAATTTATGGAAGGAATCTAATGGAAATCATTTTACTGAAAGATCTGACGTAGCCTGTTGTTGACACAGCATTAAGTTTGAACTCGCTTGATTAAGTTCCACGGGAAGGGGATCTTTTGTTGACACACAAGATTGAGATCCCCACTGGATTCGTCTGTTTGGCCTTCCGAATTTCCTTACGCGCTCGCCAAGAAGGAGATCTTAAATCTCCACTATGTTAGTTGGATCTTTCTCAACAAACAAGATAGTTTTCTCTCTCATGTGAGTGAACGGTATGTTAAAGTTAAATACCGGAACTTCGGCTGCATCATTATCTTTGACTTGAAGGAAGATAATTTGTTCGAATCGTGCTTCAGAATTGCATAGTGTGTTTGTTCCAAGAGCTACTGGTTGTTTCCTTAGATTGGCGTTCTGATTGTTATGAATTTTTAATGATTTTATGTGTTCCGATATTATATAGGGAGCATTCTGAAAACTTGTTCCGTGGCAATACAGTTTTGTCATTCGTGTTGGAGTTTAGTATTCGATGAAATACGGAAATTAGATAATATTTATTGCATACAACTAAAAATTACGAATTAGTATTCTTATTGATATTATGTCATATGTATTTGCTTAGTTTCATCCTTTAGTGAATAATTAAGATTATTAATTATGATGTTCTTTGTAGTATAGTTAACAAAATTTAAGGGAAGTTGATAGAAAAATTTAAATTTTTATTGCCTAATTTATTTTAAAAACCGAAAATAGGAAAACTAAAATAGGTAAAGTAGTTGAAATAGGTAAACGTTAACAGATAAAGGAAAATTTTGAAATTTCAATAATTTTAATACTTTAAATTTCTTTATTTATATATTGGAAAAATTAAAATTTTGTTGCTTAAAATACTTGAAAATATTGAATTTTTTTTTTTTTACTTAAATACCAAAAAAATTTTGAAATTTTCCTTAATTAAAAGGCAGAAAAAAGTAAAATTTCAAATCCTTCATTTAAAGAAAATATTTAAATTTTTATTGCTGAAATACAATAAAATATTGAAATTTACATTCTTAAATGTAGGAAATTATTGATAATTTTATTACATTTTAACAATAAAGTAAAAGTTACAGCAATAATGCACGTTTCTTTATAATAATAACGATATTTAAACAATGACAAATCTCTAATGAACTTACTAAGTTGCTTGAAAATTAGTTTTAACTATACAAATAGTAAAAACGAAGATTTAAATAAAACGTTATAATTGAGTACTTGCACTTCAAGAAGATGATCACGGATACCGACACATGTGATCTATGACGTTAGCCCCAGCTGATCGTTTATAAGCAAAATGGCTTGGTGAAGTTGAGCGAAATTTCCCCACATAAATAAGAATATTAATTAATGTGAAATTAATTAAATACAGCACCGTATCGTACATCGAAATTTATTGAAATACAATTTTTTATCTTCTACTTTTTTTACTCAACTTAAATTTATTATTTGTTTACGTATTTTATTGTAACCGTGATATATTTTTGTTTTGTGTGCAAAACCTGGCAACTTCCGTTGCTGACTTGGCAACTTCGATGCATAATAAGTTTGCTTATGTTCTACATTATTTCGTGCCTGTCTCTGTGTTATGTTAGATATACATAGCAAAAGAACTGAAATATTTGTGAAAGAATATAGAATGTGTCACTCAAGAGAATTGATGCTTGACGGACTTGACTTACTCAAAATAGAATGGAAAGTACAGTTTTTAACGTAAACAAATGTCACATTTCAGCAACCAAGCAGGATAGACATACTACGTCACTTACAGGTATCCAATTAAGAACCAGATGTTTTATCAAAAAGATAGAATTGCTGCCAATTCTTTCAAATTTATGCGTAGTTAAATTTTGTATCAGTAATTTACGTTATTTATCGTAATTTTCTGCTTCATTAATAATATCGAATTTTTTTTTAAATATCGTCATCGCCATAAATTTTTAGAATTCCTGTTAATAAGGGAATTTATAATATTTTCCATATTTGGAGTCCTAAATACATGAAGCGTTTGTGACATTATAGTGTTAAGTCACACTTTTTCCAAAAGGGACATTATTACATCACGCTTTTTCTCAGATTTGCTTTCACGTAGTTTCTACACATTTTTCTGGAATATTTCATTACTTGTGCAAGAAATATCCTATCATCTGGAAAATGTAGTGTTTTTCAGTGAGGAAATTTTTCTAGATCAATTTGAAAAAAAAGTAGCTTACAATGCCCAAGACCAAATATATATCTATATCACAAAAAAAAAATCAGAATTGGAAAAAAAAACGAAGGTGAAGACTGAACTAAGCCAATTAAAAGTGGATGGAAAATTTTAAATACATTATCTGCACATTGTCCTATCCTTCCTCAAAGTTAGAAATTAAAATAAATAGCCTAATCTTCTAATATAATCTGAAAAATACCGTGACTCTGATGATTATAACTTGATTATTTTTTTCACAAAGTTTTTTTTTGTATCTTTTCTAAATGGCTTGGAACAGAAAAAAAAACTTACTTGATTCGAAACAGAGAAAACAATTTAAGTGACACGGGACATTTCATTTTAGTTTCGCTGGCTGTCACATATATATTCGTTTAAGTAGGTTGACGTTTGTTTCGTAAATTCAATTTATTCGAACAAGCATATAGTTTTTACAGTTAAAAATTCTTAAATAAAGAAATGAATTGAAATAAATGCAACGTGTCCCACAGTTTCTTCGAAGAAGGTCTTAATATTTGAAAAGCAGAATATTTATTTACATTTCAAAATATTTTTGATGTCTTGCACTTTGCACAAAAACAAATAAATCACATTTAAATGCTTATAAAACTTTAAATGCGGAAAATTTTCGAAAATTTTTAGAGTTTCTAACGAACAATAATTTGTTTATGGCTTGAAAAAATATATTAATTTAATAAAAATATGCTGCTCATTTTAGGCTTAAGTTTTCTTTAAAAAAAAAAATTCGAAATGTAACTATTATTCCGTACATTTTCTGATGTGCTATTATTTTTGTAGATGGGTGATGATAAATCATTTTGATCGTTTTTTTTCCACCACTACAGAAACAGCAATGCAAAATACTTTTGAGTGCTAAAGAGGCATTTATATATAATTTCAAACTGTAAAGATCTAGGTGACAAAATACGAAATTTGAAGAAAAAATTTCCGAAACAATTCTCCAAAACTATCCTTTAAAATTATTTGGTTTAAAATGATGTAACAAATGATTCTATCCTACTATTCAAAATTTAATAATTACATTTTTATTGCATTTATACAAATACTTAATCTTGCCTAATTCGGATGAAGGAATTTCAAATCCGAAATTCAATTTGCTTCTTAAGCAACATACTTTTTTAAAATGACATT